AAATACGATGGCAAGATATGTCCAGAAGAAACTCGTTGACGTGGAGGGAGGGCAATAGAGAAGTTTGTATTGGCCTCATAACGAGCAACAGAAGCGGAGGGGGCACACGATGGAAATCAGATCACATTTTGTTGAAACCACTTTAACATCTCCTCAAGTCAGGGGTACCACATGCAAAGGCCATTGGATGAGGAGCAGGGGAGTTGTCGACAACTGGGGAACAGGACTCCAATCCTGAGGACCCTCAGTTGTGCCCACGTACTATCTATCTATCTATCTATCCAGCAAAGGTTGTGTATACGACATAGCTAGAAAAATACACCAAAAGGTGGTGGTGGAATGACGACAAAATCACAATCTTGCGGATGAAAACCAGCGAATGGGTTCGGCTGTGCAACACACCACTTCGAGGGATTCAGCACAGTGTAGCAGTAAAAGGATGCAGGGCGCCAAATGGAATCTGTAGAAACAAATCAAAACGGTTTTCGACCCGTGCAGGGAGACGAAGTCCACAATCACAAGCGCCGAGAAGATGACCCATTCTCGCCTAAAGCACAGGTAGACTCGACGACTAAAACCCATTCCAATAAGATACCCATCGCACCCGAACGCAAGCTCATTTGTGTCATAGGGGGACGGAGCCGGTAGACAGTAGGTTTTTCAAAAAATGATTGATTATCTGTCTATGAAGCTCTCTCCTCCTCAGGGCCAATAGATCCCCTGTCCTCAGGGTCGAGTCCGAATGAGGAAGTAGGCCCCTCTCCCAAAGGGGAGTTTCTCTCTCTTCCCGATCCGGCAGTGCTCCATGCAGCCACCAATCCACTCCACCTCTCTCCACCACTCCGATTCGGCAGTGCTTGATGCAGCCTCTACTCCGTTCCACCTCTCTCCACCTCTCTCCATCTCTCTCCTTTCTCTGCCTCTCGTGACAATATGGGCAGGGTTGAGAGCTGCAGCTAAGGAACACCAGGAACCTAAGCGCTCCTCGATGGGATCCCATGTTGCCTCAACAAAAACTGGACGACTAAGCATGAGGCAGAAGAAGATGGTAATTTCAAGTCCCCCACAATGCTCCACTCTCTATCTACATGATTTCACACCCTGTGTGTTCTTTCCAGATCCGGAAGTCCAGAGCCTCTCTCCTCATTCCCAATCCGAAGGGGGCAGGTCCTCCTGCACCCTCTTGCATCCCACTGCATATCTTTCTGCATATCCTTCTGGCATGTATCCTCTCCTGACAGAGAGAAACTGGTACCCGACGTCCTCCGGAAGTACCAGGCATGGTACACCACAGCAAGCTTGGAGGAAGGGAAAGCTTAGGGACTTACGCCATAACAGTTACCTTGGAGAGATTCCAAACCATGATAAAAGATGATGGAGACTGACTTTTGAACCGAGTGGTTATCGAGATGCAGAGAGACATCGACAAATGAAAGGATAAACAGCATCACCAACGAGCAGATCATGGGTAGCCTACCGACCTATGTGTATCGATTCAAGAAGTCAAGATCAATGACAATCCCCTGCGGAGGTAGGGCAGTCTCGAGGGTTAGGTGGGAAGCTCAATGACCATCAGCGTCAACGGCACTAGACGCAACGGCGAGTACCCTTTCCCAACGCCCTGTATCGATCACACTATGGGAAAATTGAGCAAATAAGACACTGACGAAGCGTAGGGACCCTGACCTGCAGAAACCAACAAAGGCGGCTATGACCTTCCTCCCGACAAAAGCAAGTCGGGCATGTTCGACGTGAGAACAAGAATATGGGTAAGTTATCCAGGCAGTACCATCAGGGGAGAATGGGTCGTTCCCAAATCACGCCACTAACAGAATCAAGCCAGCCCATGCAGCAGTCGCCTAACCCACCAAGACCCGAACCTGAATGACTCTAATCTCTGATACAGGTATCGCCATGAAAGTACGGCACTCAAGAAAGACAATTACGGAGCAGAACTATGGCCAGGGTCATACACGGAGGCAGTCACAATGCTAGAGAGGATCAAAATGAGCTTGATGCATTAGACATGCGATGAAGGCACAACAATACACCAGGTCAGTAAACTTCTGTACCATATTAACAAAGAAAAGATCCAGGATCCAAATTCAGATATCAGGCAGTGCCATCCCATGACACCAGCCTGAACAGAACGATCCCCGACCTCAGACCCACCAAACACGCAGCGCACCACCGTAGAGCCCACCACATCCTTCCATTTTTATCCAGATTAGGGGAAGGAGGCCGTGGACAAGTCAAGGGCGCCATCTGTAATATTGAATCCCTCTCATCTATCGAAGGGAAAAAGTTGGCCTGGGCAAGAATAAGAATCATGGAAGAAGAGAGGTGGATGTCACTTGCTCAGACGGCCCGGGAATTGAAGGTGGAGCGAGACGGGGGACTCTCATTGTGCACCCCATGTACAACCACTAAAAGAGAGGGTAAAGAATCAAGAGGAACGGAGGAAGAAAGAAAATCGAGAGTCTCCTGTCAAGACAGCATCTGGCAATCAGATAGGGTGAGGCTTACACCGGAGTCACAGGCACATCAGGAGAAATAATTTAGCAAATTCCTTGTGATCGGGTGCTCCAGAGCAGGAATTTCTTTTTTTGTGAACGGGCAACTTTTTGCTAACAAAATCCTCGGAAAATTTGTCTTTTGAGAAATCCAAAGCTACACTCCCCTAAACATCATCTTTCATGAATTTCTAAAATCATTTTCAGCAAGTATTCACATATAACATCCAAGAGAAAATTGCTGTGATCACCCAGAGCACCCAGTCACAGGATCGCGAAAAACTCGTTCCCCTGATGCAGTGACCTCAAAGAGATGAACAGGCAAAGCTCGAGTTTGCACTACCGACGTTCTCGGTCACCCATAAAATGACCAGGAGAACAGACGAATGAAAGAAATGATTGACGTAGCTGAGGGGGGGTCTCGAAAGTCAAGAAATAGGTGCCACTTAACATAGCCAGGGGAAGGGGTGGCGGAGATCGTGGAACTACAGAATTGGGGGAACGGCGCGCGCTGTCTGTGCAAGATGCATGAGAGATGGAGAGACGGCGGGGTGTGTTAATCTTGAACGCAAGAAGAGCACGGCAGTGAGAGAGGGAGAAGAAACCAGTTTTCACGCCGATCAGCAGGAACTGAAAGGACCTAGGTTGAAAGAAATGTGGCACCCCATGGCAAGAGTTGAATGGCACATTCTTTCCTTTCTCCTTTCCTCCCAGCCGCAAGGCGTGATGGAAATAATTCGGAGGCGAAAAAGAAAAGGCAGAACCTGGCATCCTTGACGAATCCCAAACCCGTGGCAGGCAACCCAAAAATCTCCGGCAACCCGCTCGACCAATACCCAGGCCCCGATCCAGCAAACGGTCCTCCTTACCTTGATATTTCAACACGGCGCCCACTCCAGGAGGCCTACTCCAGGAGACCCACCAGCACTGTCAGGCCAGCTCCGCACTCTCGCAGCATACACATCGGGACCCCCCCGCATCCCACGCAAGGAAGAACAACAGTCGGCGCAACTCCTAGGGGCCACCCGGCATCCCTCACAAGAATTGACATGCGGGAGTACTACATCTGAAGTTTGACATCATATCTGGCTGACGTATTCCTCCAGTCTCCTTCATACATACCTTGTTGAGAATATTGACGAAAATCGACGCTACGTTTAGGTATCTACGAGTATATTAATGTGAAAGTCCGCCCAAGAGCGTATTCGCGACCGTGAGGGAAGTTGATTTTAATTGCGCAGGGTTCGTCCCTACGCACGTTTGATGATTAATCCGTATCCATTGCGAAATAGAATCGCGGTTCCAGAGATTCAATTTCGGGTATTCAAAGATAAAAGAAATACATTTAAGCAAATCGAGCGCTCTCAGTAGAATAAAAGTGGTTTTTCAAAAAAAAAGAAATGAGGGATTTTGTAGGATTGAATAGCCCCTCCCCCAATGCTAACCTAACCAATAGTGGGTCCCTGCTCTAAATTCCACAATCGGGGAGAAACGCCAAAATGCCCAGGAGCCAAGCGACGCGAAGCGCATGGGTTATGGTGGGGCCAAATGTAGGACCATAATGTGTAGACAAATAGTGAACGTTTCATGGCAAGCTTCCCAAGAAAGATGTGGTTGATTATTCAGCATCCAAAATGTTTATAACAAGTATCAAACTGTGCACAGGGACTTTAGGTACTTGCATATGTAATTCGTTACTTCTTCTTACTCTCGCGCACGTACTCGTCCACAAGCATGACGTCGAGAGCAAGCACAACGGCGAGAGCAAGCATAAGGACGAGAGCAAGCACCAGAGCAAAGGCAACTGCAAAAGCAAGGACAATTGTGAGGGCGACGGTAAGGGCGAGGGCCAGTGCAACAGCCAGAGCAAAAAGTCCTTCTGCACACTTTCCATAGATATTAATCAATTATAGAACAGGGCGGGCAAGGGCATCCTGCACACTTTATGCTCACTTTTAATAACTAAATTTAATATTTAAATAAAATTGTTTTGTTTTCTTTAAACGTATAATGTGTGTAACTATTTGATTGTCATAGTTTTCACACACATTCCGCACACATATTTGTATGACAATCAGATATCCTCAATGTGTGCGATAAGTATTTGTAGAGCGTGCTTTTTTTATTTCGCAGTACACTTAATTGGTTGCTGCGGTCTTTCCCATGAATATTATTTTTGAGAGTAGTGTGCAGAAATATGGAAGAGCCTCTGAGTTCAATTCCCAACTACTACATTTCTCTTTTTGGCAACAGGCCCTGGGGTTTCTTCGGGGCGAAGCCCCTGATACGTGTACTCTTATAAAGCGTTGTATTTTCTTCCCCAGTCTAGACATCTGTACGCCGATTTAAGTCTATACAAGATCAAAACGTCGAGGTGTAAAGAGCAAATGTGGAGGGGCTAATATTAAGAAAGAACCGATGGTGCTTGCGATTTCCCAGTACCTATAATAATCATGCGCTCAAGTTTCGATAACAAAAGCAAAAGGTTGGAGACAGTGGGAATCGAACCCACGACCGTCTCAATTTTCAAGGGTCGATGAATGACCCATTGCAAATGAGAAATTATACCACTAAACCATATCCCCAATTTGATGAATTGATATATTGATACCCACCTATATCGCCACAAAGGGATGAAGAGAATTCCCAAACATTATTTAGGTGATGTCGCGATCGTTGTGCTGAGATCAAACTCCATCTTGATACTGGGCGGTGGCGTGTGTAGATTGCGGCGCACAAGCTTGATTCTGAAGTTTGCGGGAACGATTGTAATTATTTTTCCATGTTGGTGTCTGGCTCTGTTGTTGGTGAGTAATGGTGGATTGATGCACTCGCTGTGAGGTGGACTAGGTTTCCTGCTTACCACGGGACCTGCATGTCTTTCCAGGCATCGGTAAAACAACCCCCTACTCTCACTATTTAGCGTTCCAGAGTGAATTTGGTGATCATTATAAACAAATATAAAATTTAGACCATGTCTGCATAACCACGGACTTTGTCTGCAACCCATCATCATCATAGCGATCCCTGAACCCGCATGATCTCAGGTTACGTTTGTTGATTACGAATGCCATACGTTTCCCCTATATTTGCCTAATTTAAAGTTCCTGCGGAATACATTATTAATTCCACATCAACGGCCTGAGACTACATCACCAGCAGTAGAGATGGGGTATTTTGACACATATTGCAGTTCCGACTGTTCTCGTGCTCAGACGTGGACAAGGCCTTGGTGCGTGCAAATCGGCGACTGATATCGACTGCATGATGACGTATATTGGAGCTACCCCACCCAGTAGCAACCCGCAATGTATTAGGGAAAGCGAGGCGAGAGATAGTTTCCGAGGTATATACTTACCTAGCGAAGGGGTCTCCTTAGGAAGTACATATCAAGGGATTCAAACCTAAAAAGCAGGAGCACTATTTACATAATTTTTTCACAAAACCCAAGATTCTTAGAAACTACTACATGTACATAAATTAATTCCTGAATTTCCCGGGAATCCTTCGTTGTGTGTTTTTCGAAGTTCCATATTCTTTCAAACATATTTCAAATACATGTTTGGAAATTGGATGATCCTGCTATCGATTGAAATCCTCAAACGGCTTTTTTTTCGCTCAATGCTGAATTTAAGATCGATTTTCCACGGAATTCAAAGTACATTAATTACAAGTACCAGGTAGGTATCGCTGGAAATCTCACATCAAGTTTAAATGACCTATTATTACCACTTGCCCGGCGATTTATCCCCCGGGAGATTTTTATATTTAAAATTTATCCTGTTTTATAAGTTCCATAAACTTGACGTACAAAGTCGAAAACAGTCGCACAGAAGGAGGCCGATTATGCAGTCCACTTTTGTGGTCTTGGAATCTTACTCAATACCTAGTACAATGTGCTATTAGGCACACACGATACAGATAGTTGGAAAGTTTGGCCGCATCATGAAAAATCGGGGCCATTCTACATACATAAAGATTAGTATATGCTTGAGTGAAATACCACTAATTCACTGGATACTGCTAATTCATGCACGTCATCTAGAACAAAAATGAAAACATCTGACTTGCCAATTATCTTCATTTCAAATTACCCTAGGTGAATATGCAGCAAGCGGAGGTAAAGATCCATGCGCATGCATCGCAAGTGTGGGGATATTCAAAAGGCGCCTAAACGATTAGTTGTCAGACAATATCGCATTCTATATGGCATTTGATAAAAAATAGCTAGCCTTTGACGAGCTGAATATCACGAAATGAAAAGAAAGACGGCTTTTCGCTGCTTGACAGTGGACAGGCAAGCATGTTTCAACGGCAAGCCTATTACAATTTCTCAACTTGCAACTCACTACCGAATCGCTAAGATGTTACCCGGTTCATCACCATGCTATCCTCCCCAATCACTCTCAGCTCAGCGCTCATACTATTTTCAATTTCGCATTTCGCCCCAGCGCGAAGCTTGATAAGCTGGTTGTAAACCCTGTTGCATCCCTCTATGCACGTTTACTTAAGCACTTGGTTCGTTAGATATTTTCAATTTTCGGGTGGAGAGGAATTTTCGGGTGGAGAAGACAGATTTTGCCTACTTAGCCAGTTGAGGGTAAGTTACCGATCATGATCACCAGATGAGCTTATTAAACCACCAGCATGCATTGAATTTAAGCTCAAATAAATCTGGGTCAAAAGGTTTTGACCTCTCACATTAATATCAGGACAAGCAGGTTGCTATGGGATCGATAATTACCCACTGTCAAAAGTTTTTTTTTCTTTTGAATTGAATTTCCGATTACGCCGTGTAGGCATTGCGTCAGAACCTATGGAAGAATGTGGCTGAAGAAGAAAAAATAGGAAAGAATAAAAAAAGTATTACAAATAGAAAGATTATGCTAAACAGAGAGTCTCGCTACCTCTTTCCCCCTAAGTCGCTCGTTCTTGGGGAAAACATATTCGTAAATATTTTCGCCTTGTCCGCTACCTTGGCCCATTCCCCATAGCCTTCTGCTGTGTTCTGGTTCCAGGCGGCCCACAGTCAACAGTTAAAGGGAAACCCAAAAGAATTCAGTCGCGATTTTCAAGGGACAGATTGAAAAAAGAAACGAAGAACAGATGATCTCGTATGCCCTCACTGTGAATCGAACACAGAATCTCATCATTACTAGTGATGCGCTTTACCATTAAGCCATGAGGGCCTCTTTCTGTGTCATCCCAATTTCTTCTCCTTCCGATTCCGTGACGCTATCTCATTGGCAGTCGTGGATTGCCAACATTTTCGACAAAGGGTTACCGTAGGATATTTTCGGTAAATATCCCTTCTTCGAAACGCCGTTCTCACATCTTCAAAAGTAAGTGGAATCAATTCGTTAAAGTTAGCCCTTGAGTAAGGTCTCAAGCAACCATAAGGTGAGGAATCGTTTGTGTTAGTTAAAAAAGGTAATCAATAAAAATAAAAATTCTGGGGAAAAAGCTAGCTATTCTGCTCCAGTTTCCCACAACCGCATATCCCTCAGGGTGAATACCCCACTCTATAAATTCCTCCTTCAGAACCGGGTTGGAATTCCACCCTGCCTCACCTTTTAAATCCGCTCACGAGTCCGGCGTACATGCCTTTTAGAATTCGGAGAATGCTGCTGTTGATTTCTCTCTTTTGTCATACGCATATGGCGTCCTATCCCGCTTGCCAGTCTTCTTGATCTTCCCTGGTATGTATTTGCTATGAGAAATGGATTTGCCAGTGACAATCACAAACTTATCGGGTGGATGGATCGTTCTTGTATTGGGACGCCACCCTGCTCCTAAAACTGTTTGATCTTTCTCGTTCGGCATGTGGCGCCTCATTCCTGGCGGGTTTGACGCATGGTGTTCTCACAATAAGCAGCAAAGAGGAATCAACACAAACTTGAATTTCCAACACCCCCCTTATGCCTCTTGACAGACATGTTGATGGTTTGATTATACGAAGGGTTGCGAATGATCGCTTTGATGCTCTTGCTCCGACCCTATCTACAGCCATGTGTTCTCCATCAGTACAAGATGCTCATACAATTGGGATTTGAGGCCATTGAGATATTACATTTGTGCTGAATAGCAAGGACACTTCCAATTCGTTTTGTAGTGCTTTCCACCCCCCCCCCCCCCCCAATCCTCACGGCCACTGCCTGCGCATCAACTCTTGCACTCATCAACAGGGCGTAACCTGCCTATGCTCCTGTCTCAACGAGCGATCAACCACCTGCTCCAGAATCATGTCCATCGTTCCAATAGCAGTCTAGGTGATCCTGAATTATCCGTTGTTTGAGAAGGAATTCTATCGAATACGCCGAGATCCGGTGGTAATCTTTCACTTGTCCCTGCGCCGAGATCCACGGGGCCAGTTGTCGTTGACGTCGCGAGTGGGATGCGGAGTGTGAAGAGAAGTGGTTTTGAAGGGGCCATGAGGGGGATCAATCAAAAGTGCACGTGCAGATGGTGCAGCCTCAAGGTCCGATGGCTCAGCGAAGGTTGGAAAACGGGACTGCAGTTGATACTCGCTCCATTTAAGGGATGTTCGCGAGGGTGGAGAGAGTCGTCGAGGGATTGATCCTCTGAGGAGAAGGTTTATAGGCGTAGCTGGATTATGCGAAGGTCGGAGTTGAAGATGAAAGAATCAATTAAGAGAGAAAAAAACGAGGGATGGCTCGGAGCAGGAAGTGTTAGCGCTCTGAGCTAAATTGTTGATTGCTGACGCAAAAGGTGAATGATATGAGTCTGAGTAAGGTGGATCTAACTCAAACGTGTGGTTGCCTTTTATTCAGCAAAGACATATTTAAGAAGAGTGCATCCCCTCCTTGTGCGATCTCAAAGAATGCCCCACATCTTTTCCAACTTGAAATCTTGTAGGGACCAGATTGACGCATAATAGGTCTTTGACGCTGTCCACTTCATCTCTCCTCTGCTGCTGCTTTTTGACAACGAGGTGCGCTGCGCACAAAACCTCCAGCATCTCGTATCCTCTCCATATTTACCTCCTATCCATGGGTGATCTCTTCGGAGGGGGTCGTTTCGTCACAATAGGAGCTCCAGGCAGGGTGGTCTTCATCGTCAAATTACCCTTAATCCTATCATTATGGCGTCAAACACCCTCAATCTGTTTTGCTAAAGCTGGATGTTCAACCCCGGATATAGCTGTTGCACCAATCACGAACCTGTGGATGGCGTGCCACGTGATGCCATGTCGACTTTGGCTGATGCTATCCCTGGGGCCTAGAAGAATGACCCACCAGCATTGCATTGTTCCTCTCCGTCAGTATCAACGTTATCTCCATTCCACACCTCAAATTGCACTTACTTTTCGAGATGCTGATCTACTTTATCTCCTTTAACTCAACCGTTCCCTGCCAAATTCAGGACGATCTCCCAGGGACTTAAAAGCATGTGGCCATAGTCTCCCCCCCTCGAGGACAACGCAACTAAGTGTACTCTGTTCTGCACGGAGCACCCACTTGAAAAGGAACACCACCATCGCAGGCCCAGGAAATATATCTCTGCGGCTCCACAGAACCTCATCGAGCTCGCTGTCAGCACGCATTTTTGACCTCAAAAACACATC